GCAAAGTATGGCGAGTGATTCGAACTCCATTACACCGTATCCAGCCTCGAAACGAACTTGACAATATTTATGGATGGTCGGTCCAAAAGCGACTTATATTCAATGTGGCTAAATGTCGAGTGCTCCATTTAAGGCACTGAATGGTTCACACATAAAAGCTGGGGAGACCAGAATCTGCATCACTGTTCTCTAGAGTAGGATCTTGGTGTTCTGATCCAGGAAGATCCCGACCGCTAGAAGCAGTCCAAAAAGGCGTCGAAGAAGGGGACGCAAACCGTTGGGCTTTTACGATGAGTATTCGGGCAATTCAAACTGTTGATTTTCCGCCAATTACTTCCCGCTTATATACGCCCAGATGTTGAATATGCAATTCAAGCATGGCATCCATAACTAAAGCGGGCTCTCAAGGTCCTGGAGCTTCCACAACGTCGGGCGATCAAAAATGTCAAGGGGCTGCGCCATTTGTCGTACAAACAGCGCTTCAGAGTAATTGGCATTTACAGCGGACGTCATCGCCGTTTGTGTGGTGACCTAATCATGGTTTACCAAATACTAAGCAACACTCATCATCTCTGCCATCACCTATTGCAGCTGAGTCACAACAGCTAACTGTGAAGTCAACATCTTAAATTAGCAGAACAATACAGTCGGTTGGAGTGTCGAAGAAACTTATTCTCGCTGCGTGTTTGCCACACGCGGAATATCCTATCAGAAGTTGTTATTACAGCCCCCACGTTAGCCGTGTTCAAAGCACGTGTCTACAGTGCACTGGTCACACTACAACGCATCACGTAATCCAAACGACCTATACAAACAACATGAAAACGAAAAGGAATGAACCAACCTCTACATTTTCCCGGAAACCACAGACGATAACCTTGGCTAGTACATAAAACGGACGGAAACGCTGTGATCGGCAAGTTCACAATTTATAGTTGTCTACTATTTCCTATTGCCATTTTTGCCTTTATTTTGCTCACCCCTAACCGATCATCCGGTGGGACATGTCATGTTTCGGTTTTTTTTATCCGCAATATACCACTGACCGTTGACAGTGTGTACTAACGTTCTTGAGTTCAGCTCTGGTACAATAAGGAGCAGTTAGTATATGATCCCAACCAGTGGCATTCCATGTTTGATGCGATTGGTATTCTTGTTGACCCAACTGGGCTACCACGTGTAGCGCGTCATCCAAATTCAGTGCACTACGGCGAACCCCGATTTCTTATAGTAACCTTGAATTCAACTGAGGAGACAGAGATAGATCTACTCGCGGCAGTTCACCTTCACAACTCATCGAGTGTGGGACGCATAATACACGATATTCCTCGGAAAGGAAGGTCAAAGGAAGAAAAGCTTAACGGCCCTTCTACTAACGAAAGCAAAAACTTCCGTATTTGTTCATGGTGTTCCTGAGCTACTGGGCTCTCCTGAGCACGACGCATAAAGATATGACTGACAGCGTTGGTGCTACATACGCGAAGTAGTCTCTTTGGATCACATTATTGCGAAATCACTAACGAGAATTATTTCATCTCCAAACTATAAGGGCTGCGGTCCAAAAATATTGAAAGTCGTGCTACACTCGGATGGAATGACAGAAATCCTGTTGGATAACTGGTTGAAGTGTCGCTCTAGGTTGTCCACCGAGATTAGGCTAAAGATAGAAGGCGCACGGCCACTATATAGTTATCAGCACTTCATTGGAACATGCAACCTCAGTAAAATATTTGCCTCCACAATCCTGCAGAGTTGCAGACAATATGGCATTAGCGAAACCTGACGGGACAAGGAGACACTCGAGAGAACATCTCGATCTGGGATGCTCCATGCTACCATGCAGCCTGACCGAAATTCAAGAACCAAAGACCCACGTAGAAAGGATTATCGGCCGACCGACGAACTGTCGGCTTAAACCTAAACACGAATTTGTTGTCCACCTACACACTTCTCATATCAGAAACACTTTCATGTTTGTATACGAACGCCCAATGTCTGCTTAGTAAGTTGGTCGAACTTAGAGAACGCCAGACGTCACAACCGCGGGATCTTAGTATGATTACGGAGACCTGGTTAAGCGCTGAGATAGCAGATTCTGAAGTCCATTTAGCTGATATGTCACTGCTTCGGAATGACAGAGCTGAAAGAGAAGGTTGCCTAATTCTGGATTACAAGACTAATCTCTGATGTGAAGTCATTGACCACCCAGAGATCCGTACCACAGATTCGCTTTAGTGCAAAGTATGGTTGCGGAACAAAGACACATGTTATATAGCTGTGATTTATCGTCCACCCAACTCTACGGGTGAAATGGATTCCAACCTAAACCACGTTCTTCAGGTTGATTTGAGCAAGACATACAGTCACATTTTCATTGCAAGCGACTATAATGTGCACGATCTGGAAAATAGCGGCCGCCGATAGTATGCAGTTCAAAGCCTGTTTAGAAGAGGTAAATTCCAGCTACCCTCTGTACAAGCACTTCACCTTCCCCTGTAGATTTCGAACTGCTAACAAGCCGTTGGTACTTGATCTTGTGTTCACCAACGAAGAACTCATGGCAGACGGAACAATAGCAAGTACACCACTCGGTCGCAGTAACCATGTAACATTACCCATGTAACTACCTATGTTATGCGGAATATCCTGAGGAAGAGGACGATAAAGTAAATACGCTCACGCACTGCTCGTTGGGCGGAACACTTTCAAGATCAGTCCAGCTGGCCCCCTGCTCCCCGACCTCTTCCCACTCAGGCGATGCAGGACGAGCCATGGACAGTTAGTTTAGAGCCTCCTTCGGATGCCGAGGTCCGAAACGCGATCACAGCCCTTAATCGTTTTCGTGCCAATGGCCCGAAGGAACAGTGTCCCGGCGAATTAGAGCGAATCGATTATAGTGGCAATATACAATAAGGGCAGTCGCACAGACTGTTCTAACCACAGGGGTATTAGCCAAACGTCAGTTGTGACAAACTTATTGGCCTCGATTATCGTTCGTCGCCTCACTGCGGAACGGGAATCTCGGATTAGGGAAGAGCAGGCCGGTTTCCACCCAAGAAGTGGCTGTGTAGGCCATATATTCACTTCGTGGCAGGCGCTAGAGCAGCGCCACACATACCGCAGACCGACAATAGCTGTGTTCCTCGATTTCAAGAGTGCGTTCGACTCAGTCGATAGATCCATTCTGTTCGAAATACTTGCGCGGAAAGGTGTTCCCACGAAATATGTGAACATCCTTCGTGCTCTATACTCCAACACTACAGGCCGCGTCAGGGTTTACGGTGTCCTCTCGGTTAGCTTTGCGACCACAAGTGGCATTACTCAGGGTTGTCCGATTTCCCAATTTTTGTTCAATTTCGTCGTGGATTCTATCAAGGAGTGTTCCCTTGCAGAATCTCACGATGTAGGCATTGAAGTGCTGTCTGGTGAAAGGTTAGTTGATCTAGATTATGCGGACGACATCGTCTTGCTTTTCGACACTGTTGGGACGGCACAATCAACGCTGAATAGCCTGTCCACAGTGGTCCATTATTTGGTATGCACTTCACACCTTCAAAGTGCAAAGTGTTGCTGCAGGACCGCTAGCCACTTTATTCCACCTTGACGCTTTCTAACGAGGAAGTCGAGGTGGTTGATCATTTCACTTATTTTCGCAGCTGCATCAGCAATGATGGACGCACAGAAATTGACGTCAACTCACGCATTGCAAAAGGCAGAAATACCTTCTTGAACCTGCGGCATCTTTGGCGACAGAAGGGAGTTTCCCTCCGTCTGAAAGGTCGGGTATACAAGGCCACAGTGAGGGACGGTCTGCTCTATGGTAGTGAGACTTGGCCACTTCGGTCTGAAGATCTGAGGCGCCTTCAAGTCTTTGATCATCGTTGTGTGCGAAGCATTGCTGGAGTCGGATGGCACCAGCGTGTCCGCAACAATGATGTGCGTAGACGAGTACAAGGTGATGATAATCATGCTAGTACCCTAGAACAACAGATAGCACCTAATAAGTTGCGTTGGCTCGGGCACGTGCTACGTATGCCGTCACCGCTTACCTTAGAGGGCCTTGTTCAGTCTGTCAGGTGTAGGGTGGCGCAACGCTCGAGGTGGACAGAAGTTGACTTGGCAGCGGGAAATGAAGTCACTGACAACCAAACTGGGTGTCTATGGTCCGTCTCGCCTTCCGGGTTGAAGTCCAAGCGACTCGTCTTGTGCTTGGCTCGAGACTTTACAGGACATGGCTCGCAACCGACACTAGTGGCGCGTATGCTGCCGTCTCCTAATCGGATTGTCTGTTTAAAGTGTGTTTGGTGCTGAGTTATCTGCGGGGTAATGGCTGATTATGACGCGTGGCAGTGAAAGCCGCAAGGAAGCTGTCTCGCCGATGCCGCCTTATCTTTGCACGATAGTCAGCTTTTTGTGTTGGTATTTTGTCTACACAAGGTGTAGGCGCCTTGACCATGAATGTTTGCTTAGGGCATTAAGGTTTTCAGGTAAGTCCCTCTTATTCTTTATTTCATAGGTCCTCATGGTTGTATGTCAGCGAAGCATCAGTTCAAAGGACTGATGTACTGCTGTTTGTGATGAGTGCCATTTTGTCTTTATTTTGCCCACCGTTAACCGAGCATCCGGTGGGATATGTCAAACTTCGGCTTTTTTTTATCACAATATACCATTGACCATTGATCAAAAAGGGGGTGGACGGCGGCAAACGCGCGAAGTGTTCGGCAAGTAAACAAAGAACATCAAAGCAATTCAGCGGAGCTCGGTTAAATCAGATCAAATTCAAACACAAAGGGAAAATGTTCTGTAGTTCGTTCGCCACAAAAATACAGGAACTGCGCAGTGGCTAGAAATTGCTTGTAAGTGGTAAGTACAATATAGAACGACGGCAGCATAGTGAATATGAAAAAAGTGTAGAAAATCAATCACGCAAAACTAGAGAAACGTTGTTGTCGTATGCTCGTCAAGGATGAGTGGGGGAGGGTTGAGATGACTTTCTGCAGTTAATTGCTGTCCTTCAGCAACGTGTATGAATCCGTGTGAATGGTGTGAAACCTTTTTGAAGAAAAGCATAACAAAAGTGACCAGTGCCCCGCGATGAAAATCCAAATGAAAGGAGTGACCCGAAACTTTTCTGCAAGAGACGGTAGCTGTGAAGGCTTATGTGGCGTGACCCACAAACGATCATACAAAATGTATAATAACCCAGCCGATGAGGAAGACAGTGTAACTACAGAAGCTATCAGTCCAGCCCAATAAAACCTAGTCAGTATGTACGGCCAAGTCCGCCAGTGACCTCTGAGAAATTGTACATCCACATAGAAGCCAGCTAACAATAAGATCACTGAAACGGTTATATATCAAAAAAATTACCTACCTGAAGCCAAGCAAGCACCGGCCGAGTCAAACTGACTGCGAATAAGGTAAATCAACAAAAACACTGTGCTAATCAGTATACCGACAAAAGAATATGTCAGTTTTGCTTTGATCCTTCGTCTAAAAGTAACTCCAGGTGTAGTTGGATTCATGTTCAAAACAGAAACACCATTTGTTCAGAGAATGGTGCATTAAACAGTCTCTTAGATATATGTGAAAAGGCCCCCGCAGTGCACAATTGTTCAGAATCAAAGAAATCGATCGACTGGCTACAGAAAAATGAGAGTATTGATTCCGAGGATACAGAAAAGCAATAGTGCGGTTCAATGCGACGGTCTACAGGTACGTGCTAGCAATGTACTTGAGTAGATGGGAGATGGGTTAACCTAAAAAGTTAAAAAATATGCCACATAAGTAACCACCAAGGTAAGCACGCGCGAGATGCATAGAGGGATAGAAAATAGAGTTCGACAAAATCTGGTGTCAGAGTTCGGAACGCCACTGCACCACCTTCATAATTATCACCAACAGCAATTAGAACTGATGTTTAGCTGCTGCACAACCACACTGACCCAAAGAATGTAGAATAATAAGTGGGAGAGAAGTGAAGACCAAGCTTAAAAGTTAAATGCACAAAAGGATCAAGGCACCCACAACAATATGTGTCCGTCACTCAACCATATTGTCGTGAACACGGATGATGAGAGGAGAATCAAGCGTTGATCTAAGGTAAAACACCGGGTAAAAGAATCCAATGAGATTGAAGGTAATACTGCGAAAAGGAAAGAGCGTCCCAGAGATCCAGGAAAGAATCAATGACGAGCTGAAGAAAATGGAAGAGTAGTTGCATTTAATGAACATAACTGTTAACAAAAGAAATGAACATGTCTGGAAGTAGCCGCCTTAACAGTCAGAAAACTTTGGCTAACGTGCAAACATATGGCGCAATCGGAGGTTTCTTCGTGGCTTTCGCCACTTCGCGTCCCAATCAGCCATTGCTCCGCAGCAAAATCAGTACCAGGCACACTTTAAACTTGCAGTCTGCTAAACGAGTCCCTTCCAAGCCGAGAGCAAACAAACCACTGAGACCATCTAAGGGCAATGCCATGTAACATCTCCAACCAACCACAAGGTGGGTCACATGGACTCCAATCTGGAAACCTAGCTGTACCAACAGTACCCAGTTTTGCAGTGCCTTCATTTCCGGCTACTAAATTAACTCGCACACACCTCGACGCATGTGCCACGCTATATTTCGTAGACAAAACAAAGCATTCATTGGTAAGTGGTGACTGGGCATACCTCGCACGAGCCCAAAGAAACGGAGGCTATTCAGTGCCATATACTGTCCAAAGGAATCAGCCTGATCATTACTGCTTAATACTCGGCTAAGCATATTATCATTGAGAACACGCTGGAGCCATTCGATACCAGTAATATTTGCAGATAGCAAAGAGCACAGACTTGAAAACGTCTCAAATCGTCATACTAAAGGTAATAAGTTTTAGGTTCTTGAAGTAGAACGTCTCTAACTGCGACTTGTACACACGGACAGAGCGGAAAACACCATTCACATTCCTCAGATGTCGTCGCAACGAGACTGGACCTTAACCTGGTGCGACGGTATGAGTACCTCATTGACCCATTGAGCTATATTGGGTGATGACTCCGGGCACCTTGAGAGCCACTCCTACCAGGTTGGTCAATGGTGAGAGGTCAGACAAACTCAGTCTCCTGGTCCTCCAGGTTAAGGGTTTGAAATGGGATGGCGTCCATTTCTGCAAAACTAAATCAATGCCACCCCGCTGCCTTGCGGACAGGTTTTTGAGCCAAAGGCTTTGGATGAACACTCTAACCGTCCTCCTGTCTAGGTCTGGGCGCCCTGGCAGTATCTCAGCCCACATACAACCATGACACTTTCTTCAAACATAAACTTCATCCTGCATCGGCCGTCGCGCAGACTATCAAGGGTCGCCTTATCTGCTGCATACAGCAGGGCGGATAAGCGAAAACACGCTACTGCTGGCGCCTCCGTTCTTTCTTTTCCACCTTTTTCTCTTACTCCCATAACGGCCCCCATTACAAACCCTCCTTCTATAATTCCCAGCTTAATTGACAGCAACCGAAGTGCTACTGGAGTAGTACCGTCTGCAGCCACCATCCCACAGCACCTATCGGACGCCTATCGGCAAAAGTTCCTTATAAGGCCACGCTGTCCCGTTTCCATGGCGACTTTCAACGTCCGCACTCTAAGACAAACAGGTCAACAGGATGCATTTGCACGCACCTTGGACACACTGGGTGTTGATGTGTGTCGTGTGTCCGAAACTAGGATCAATGACCCTAACGGGGTTATTGCAATAACTGCACCCGGCTTATCCTCTAGTTATTGGTTGTACGCATCTGGAGACGCCGATGCAGCACACTCGAATCAAGCTGGTGTAGGTATCATTCTCAGATCCAAGGCTGAGTCATTGTTGGTTGATTGGATTCCGGTGAACAGCCGTTTATGTGCAGCCCGTTTAACGACATCAGCTAAGATGAATTCGCGAAGTAAAACAAAACGCTGTTTGTTTGTGATTTCTGCTTATGCTCCCACCGACTGCAATTCTAGTGCTATCGAGGACACATTCTATCACGAACTCAACGCGCTACTACGCAGTGCTACTAGTCCAGATATTATCGTACTTGCAGGGGATATGAACGCACAAGTAGGGCGTCTGAGCTCTTCAGAAGCTCAGCTGGGTGGTAATTGTGGGCTTAACTCCGAACGGACTGACAACGGCGAGCGTCTTCTGCAAATGTGTGCGGAGCACCAGTTGTTTCTTACTAGCACTGCTTTTAGACACAGTGGGTGCCGAAGTGCCACTTGGCGTCCACCTGTAGCTGGCCAGCGATGGACCCAAATTGACCACATAGCGATAAGTTACAGGTGGCGCGGTTCCATTCTGGATTGCCGCTCGTACTGGAGTACCTGTGTCGACTCTAATCATGCCTTGGTGCGCTGTCGTTTCTCCATGAACTTTACCGGAAGGCGCACAAAGCGTCTCCCCCGATTGGCAACAGAGAAATTGTCCCAGCCCTGGGTCAGGCAAGCCCATCAAGATGCACTGCATACCGAACTCTCGCTGTCTTGTCCTGATGATACTGAACTTCAGTGGAATAGGATCTCGGCCACTATGCACGAAGCAGAAGCATCTGTTTGTGGCACTATCCATCCTCACTGCAACAGTCACTGGATATCCGAGAGGTCGGTGAACCTGTTGGAATCTAGAAGAAACCTCCCGACTGGTTCTGAACACAATGTGACCAGACGGGCTATTAGGCGTGAACTAAAGTGGAGCCTACGTGCTGACATGGAAGCCTGGTGGACCTGTCGGGCTCAAGAAATGGAGGAGGCAGGAGCAGTAGGCAATTATCGCAAAATCTTCCAGCTAATGCGCACACTGGTCCCAGAAAACTAGGCGTCAGTGAGACAATCAGAGACAGCGCGGGTGCGCTGATACACAATAAGGAGTGCCGTATGGCTCGTTGGGTTGAACACTTTCAAGATCAGTCCAGCTGGCCCCCTGCTCCCCCACCTCTTCCTACTCAGGTGATGCAGGACGTGCCATAGACGGTTAGTTTAGAGCCTCCTACGGATGCCGAGGTCCGAAACGCGATCACAGCCCTTAATCGTTTTCGTGCCGATGGCCCAGATTCCCTTCCATCTGCACCACTTAAAAATGGAAGTGAGTTCCTCTGCAAAGCAATGACCTCCCTGCACAAACGTATTTGGAAGGGATAGTGTCCCGGCGAATTAGAGCGAATCGATTATAGTGGCAATATACAATAAGGGCAGTCGCACAGACTGTGCGAACCACAGGGGTATTGGCCAAACGCCAGTTGTGACAAAATTACTGGCCTCGATTATCGTTCGTCGCCTCACTGCGGAACGGGAATCTCGGATTAGGGAAGAGCAGGCCGGTTTCCACCCAAGAAGTGGCTGTGTAGGCCATATATTCACTTCGCGGCAGGCGCTAGAGCAGCGCCACACATACCGCAGACCGACAATAGCTGTGTTCCTCGATTTCAAGAGTGCGTTCGACTCAGTCGATAGATCCATTCTGTTCGAAATACTTGCGCGGAAAGGTGTTCCCACGAAATATGTGAACATCCTTCGTGCTCTATACTCCAACACTACAGGCCGCGTCAGGGTTTACGGTGTCCTCTCGGTTAGCTTTGCGACCACAAGTGGCATTACTCAGGGTTGTCCGATTTCCCAATTTTTGTTCAATTTCGTCGTGGATTCTATCAAGGAGTGTTCCCTTGCAGAATCTCACGATGTAGGCATTGAAGTGCTGCCTGGTGAACGGTTAGTTGATCTAGATTATGCGGACAAAACCGTCTTGCTTTTCGACACTGTTGGGGCGGCACAATCAACCCTGAATAGCCTATCCAGAGTGGTCTCATTATTTGGTATGCACTTCGCACCTTCAAAGTGCAAAGTGTTGCTGCAGGACCACCAGCCACTCGATGACCCCTTGACGCTTGCTAACGAGGAACTCGATGTGGTTGATCATTTCACTTATCTTGGCAGCTGCATCAGCAATGATGGACGCATAGAAACTGACGTTAGCTCACGCATTGCAAAGGCCAGAGCTGCCTTCTTGAACCTGCGTCATCTTTGGCGACAGAAGGGAGTTTCCCTCTGTCTGAAAGGCCGTGTATACAAGGCCACAGTGAGGGCCGGCCTGCTCTATGGTAGTGAAACTTGGCCACTTCGGTCTGAAGATCTGAGGCGCCTTCAAGTCTTTGATCATCGTTGTTCGCGAAGCATTGCTGGAGTCGGATGGCACCAGCGTGTCCGCAACGATGATGTGCGTAGGCGAGTACTAGGTAATGATAATCATGCTAGTTCCCTAGAACAACAGATAGCACCGAATAAGTTGCGTTGGCTCGGGCACGTGCTACGTATGCCGTCACCGCTTACCTTAGAGGGCCTTGTTCAGTCTGTCAGGTGTAGGGTGGCGCAACGCTCGAGGTGGACAGAAGTTGACTTGACAGCGGGAAATGAAGTCACTGACAACCAAACTGGGTGTCTTTGGTCCGTCTCACCTTCCGGTTTGGAGTCCACGTGACTCACCTTGTGCTTGGCTCGAGACTTTACAGGACAGGGCTCGCAACCGACACTAGTGGCGCGTATGCTGCCGTCTCCTAATCGGATTGTCTGTTTAAAGTGTGTTTGGTGCTGAGTTATCTGCGGGGTAATGGCTGATTATGACGCGTGGCAGTGAAAGCTGCAACGAAGCTGTCTCGCCGATGCCGCCTTATCTTTGCACGATAGCCAGCTGTTTGTGACGGTATGTTGTCTACACAAGATGTAGGCGCCTTGACCATGAATGTTT